ATACATTTTAATAGGCTTCATACATGTGGTTTCTAAAAATTTGGCAATGGAAAAAATAAATGTGCTTCATACAGAAATGCAAATATATTTGGAATTTGCTGAATTGCCTTTGTTGCAGAAAACAAAACAGAGTGGAGTGTATGCTACAGAAGCAAATTAAATTAATTATGATAATCCTATGAAATGAAAATTTTCTCTGCTGCTTGCTTGCATAAAAATGAATTTTAAAAAGCTCACCTGAAAAGATGCAGCTCAGCAGGAAACCTGTCTGTCATAGTAGCTGTAATGAATACCTTCAAGTTATTAAAGTCACTCATGACTGTGTATGGTCCAAGCATGAGCTTCAAAGTTTCTTCCAGAGGATGTGAATCATATGGTCTTGGACCAGAGAAAACCCTATCTTTTGTGTTCAAATAAACTCTCAAAATATCCCTGGCTGGCATCCCTTTTGCCACTAACAAGGCCAGAAATGCCCCTGTAGATGTTCCACAGACCCAATCAAACAGCAAATTCAGAGGGTATTTTCCAACAGCATCTTCAATGCACATCAGCATTTGCAGGGTCAGTAGACCCCTGATACCACCTCCATCCAGGCAAAGAATCTGGAATTTTAAAATACTGTATCTGGTAAATTGCATTTGTTATAGCACTGTACAGTGTTCACCACCCTGTTGTCTGCAGGCTGGTGCCAGTCTGCAGAAGTTTTTTGTCAGTCTGTGGGAATTTTTTTCTGCATAATAAATTTATCAAAAGTAGCAATGAAGTCTTTATCTTTATTTAAAATTTTGGAAGGACAATGGCACTTCAAATTATCCAATGAAAAATAAAGGTTGGCTTTTTTCCTAGCACTCCAATGGAATAAATTTTTTTCTAAGAAACCTTTCTTCAAGCCTGCCTTTCTAAGTTCTTGAATACAATCCATTATAGCTGCTTAATTGGTTCATAACTTGGTTTTTGCAAAAAGAGCATAAACTTTTGAATACCTGCCATGAAGTCTTTTAATGAAAACTTTATCAGTCAGCAAGAATTTTATGAAACTTTGCTGGGCCCCAGGAAATGTTTGGGAATTTGCTGGTCTGCAAATCTTTCTATTACATTTTTCTGGTTCATGGGCTCAAAATGGTTGGGAAACATTGTTATGGTACATGAATGAATGAACAGAAAACTTTATGTGCCCCTTTTCAGCATTCACAAGGTACAACCAAAACTCCCGCATCCAAACCCCCTCCCCACCCAACCCAACTCCCCCAACATTACAACCATGTTGGACCCATGGTACATTACAACAGGATCACAACCAACCTTAGCACTTCCTCTAGGACTTGGAACACTGATGATTCTATCCTTGAACCTGTCCCTGATTTCTGTGCCAAGGCTGATGACCATGTCTTCTGGTTCATCTTGGATCAGTTCATCCAAGTCACTGAAAGAACACACTGAATCTCCACGTGCGAATTCTGAGTCTTTATCAGCTGAAAACCTCCTGCGAAAGTACTGGTACTCATTTGGCAAAGGGGCTTCACAACCTTCCTTGAACAGTTTTGTTCTTCCCAAGGCATTCCCCAAGTCATTCACCACTTGATCGAATTGTCGCCTAGGTCTCATTGGACCACTAGAAAATAATAAACCTGAATCATGCTTCAACTTTAGGCTCATCACAACATTAATGCATACCAGTCAGAATCAGAACTGTTGTAGCAAAGCTCAGAGTCCTTATCATAATCACAGTCTGCTGCCAAGGTACACCTGGCTTTCAAAACATTCACTGGACAAGAAGAACCACCAAAACAACACATTTTGCCACATTGCAGAGGAAGCCCATTTTTGCATCTTTTGGCTCCCATGATGCCTAGCACATAGGCTAAATTCTTTTTCTTATACTTGGGTGCATTCATGGATGATGCAATGTGCAGTGGAGAAGCACCTTTAAAATTGGTCATGTTAACATCAGCTCCTGAAAAATGTTCATCAACAAAATGGCAGCCATCAACTCATTATGCAGTGAAACAAAGGTTTTGCTTAAGGACCACACACCTGAACATATTAGAAGCATGCTCATGAACAAACTGGGGTATTTGACAGCAATGTGCAGGGGAGTATTTCCTCTCAAATCTCTTGCATTAATGTTGGACCCATAGCCAATTAGTGCTGAACAAACATCCAGATGACCATTATGGACTGCCATGTGGAATGGAGTGTCTCCTTCAAAGTTCCTGGCCTCAAGCAAGCAACTTGCTCTCACCTGTTCATAGATACTTCTCAATATTAATCAAAAAAGTTCAACTCATTTTCAGTCCTTGGATGTATAAAGGCCAGGTTTTAATGTAGCATGGCACCAAAAATATGTTTGCATATAATGCATCAGGTTTGACATAGATTTACCAAAATATCAGCTCTCTGGGGTCCAGATGAGGCTTAAAATGCTTTGTAAATTGTAATGATCAAGATCTTCCAGCAATTTCACATATTTTTGAAAGTGTTTCATCAGCATACAAATTCTATGGTGTTCCTTTTTTAGATTGAGTTTTGACCAGGCCTCTACAACCCAAGTCAAATATACAGTATTGTGGAATATTGGTGCAATCAACCTGGTTACAACACAGTATGTTTAGAAAATAGCGTCCAGTTTTTTAGAAAATGTCATTTGAGTCTTATTGTAAACATTTTTTCCTTGTCATAACAAATGTGTTATCAGCATCCAATGTATTTGTTGTAACTAGAGTTTATACTACTGCATGATGGTATGTAGGACATGTATCAGTCTTGAAATGTTGAACCCTTGAATTGTTTTAGCAACTATATGAAATAATTTGATTGTCGCTTTTTGCAGGGGATTCATTCATAGAGAATATAAGCCAATGATGCTAACTGAGCACATTGTACTGGGAAACTCAACTTCTCTGTTCTTTTCCTTTTGAAAGAGTGTCATACTGTACAGTTGAAACTTGATAAGTCAAACCTCCCTAAGCCAAATTCCTCTGTAAGTTTAATTTTTAAAAGTCCCTGCCTGAATTCCCTTGTAATCAATGCATTAAAAACCTCCCTATCTCAAACTTGTTATCCATATAGCCTATGTAAATCTAATTTTCTGAGGCCTTTTGGTTATTATTTCCTTGAAAAATGAAAAAGAAAATCATTAAAACAGATGATTTCATGCATCTTGAAGGGAAGTGGAAGAATCATAGAGCAAATGAACCCTTGTCTTCAAATTCAGCTAGGTAACTCATTACGGAGCAAGTTCGGGCCCAGAATATCCTCAATTAGGATTTCCCACAAGTTTTTCACTGCTCCTCACAACAAAAGTGTTTGTTTCCTTAACTGGAAACCTCCAAAAATCAAAACCTACCCAAGTTTAAACCTTCCAAAGTCAAATGTTGTTCCTGGTCCCAAGAAATTTGACTTACAAAGGTTCAACTGTATGATGGTTAACGTTTTTGAACCATGCATATATAGGAAATGCCCTCCATTTTTCATGCATTGGCACTCCATTGTGATTTGTTCTAAAAAGGAATTGATCCATAAAAAGGCTAGAAAATCCATCCTCATAATTTTCCAAGTTCATAACAAACCAAAATGTTAGAAAATTGTTCAAGACAAGATCACTGTAGAGTGTACAACTGTAATACTTTCCAAAATCAAAAATTGTTCTTGGACTCCATGAAAATTTTGAGTTTATGGGTTCAAGGCTATATTTCCAAATTAATTTTTGATACCAGATCAAGTTTTTTTTCAAGATATTCATACAACTTATTTATTCAAGGTTTAGGTAAATCAGCAGACACATTTAACTCACAAGATCCAAAACAGGCATTCTGGACCTTATCCAATGCAAAGGATTCCCACCAAATTTCATCTCCACAGCATAAAATTCATCATAGTACTTGCTGCAAATGTCCTCAAATAGTTGCCCTGACAATTTAGGATCAAACCGGGACAACCTGGTGATTGCTTTGCATCCAAAGAGATCCCCAGCAGTTCTCACAGGTGGGGCAGTGTTCCTTCCCCCATACATAGCCATGTTTGGGTCAGAACCAAACCTCAACAGGTAGAACACAGTGTCCAATAACTCTGTTGGAGACAGCTTGGACACACATGCCAGATACAGTGGACTTTCTCCCCTTTGAAAAATTCACTTCATATCATGTACCAATTCACCAAATCATGGAGCAAGTAAGAATCACGTGCTTATCATTCAACATGTTGATCAATGGGGAATATTTGAATGGCCCCAAAGCCTCCATGCAATCAGTGCCCAGAGTTGCAGCAAAGTGGAAGATAGTGTTGCCAGCTTTATCTAAAATGTCAAGCCTTGCACCTTTTGCAATCAGGGCTTTGAAGCACTGGATTCTTTTCAGTTTCATGGCCAAATGTATTGGTGCATCTCCTGAATTGTCCAACTCATCCAAATGTGCCTGGAGTCTTTTGACTGAGAACAGGTGATAATAGTCCATGATGACCAAACAGTGGGCAATACTCCAGCTCAAGTCTGTCCTCAGCAAGTTCACTACACTTTGGATCTCAATTGGGGTTATCTATATAGATTATAAGACAAATATTTTTTAACGTTTAAATTTCAGTATTCCTCAACCCATCAGGGTCTGCTGACTGGCACTGGTCCACAGAGGTTTAATGGTACTTTCCTGTTATCTCAGTACCCATTTTTCTTTGTCTTGTGAATTCAGTATTTGTTAGGTTAGGTTTGGTCAGGTTATGTTAATTGAAATATATTTGTAACTAACATAACCTGACCTAACCTAACTTAACCTAACTGCCTCCCAAAATCAGTTTAAGCAGAATGCAGAAAAATTAAATTCACAGTTTCTGGTAGGTGCACAGAAAGTAGGTACTGAGATAACAGGAAAGTACCTTAAAGTTTTTCTTGGTCCATGGGAAGTTTTCTTCAGAATATCAAATGTATGAAAAGTAGCAATGAATTCTGTTATCTTTATCTGCAATTTTGGAAAGACCATTGCATTTGAAATTATCTGATGGAAAAATAAAAGTTGGTTTTTCTCCTAGTAATACTGTACTTCAGACAAATTTTCACCTGCTGAAATAAATTATTTCAATTTTTCATTCTGAAGAACTAATCTTCATGCTCACCTTATTTATAATTTTTTAAGGCATTCCACAGAAGCTGCTCATTGGTCCTTGACTTAATTTTTGCAGAAGACAGAAACTTTTTAACTATGTGACATGAAGTCTTTGAAACAAAACTTTTTGAGTATGCAAAAATTGCATGAAACTTTGTCAGTCTGCAGAAATGTTTTTGGAAATTTGCTTTGGTCTGCAAAAGATTTCATAGAAATTTGCTGGTTTGCAGTCCCGAACAGGTTGGGTATAACCATGTAACACTGGTTAATTTAATTGAAATTTTGTCATAAGAACCTGGACAGTTTCCGTTTCAGTCAATCCCAAGGCAACAGGAACCCAAGTGTAAAAGAAGAGGGTTTGGTACATCCTAAATCTGGACTCTTACTGCAACCTTGACAGGTGATCCACGCCCTCTGCCTTTTCGTTGACACGGTTTAATACGTCCCGAACGGTATTACTGTCTCAAGCTGTTTCGCTTATAACGTGATTGTCCTTCATCAAGGGGAAAAAGGCAGAAGTGACGGGGAATTTTCTTTTGTAGACCAGCTCAAAGATGTTGTGAAGAGGGCCTTGGCATCTGCAAACATAAATAAATAATAGTTTTACATACCTATACACCTAGTACTGCTAAAAAAAATTGATTTTCTTTAAGCATCACGCACCTTGGTCCATACAATACAAATCCAGATTTTTGCAAAACGACCCGCCAATTTCTGTACTGGGATTTTTCCACCAACAAAACGTCGTTCGAAAATTCACGCAATCCTAAATCCTTCAATGACTGCTGCGTAATGGATGCAATCAGAGGTTTTTTGCAGCCTTGGCAGTCTTCTTCGAGAAATACGTAGTTTGTGTCATTTCCAGGTTCTTCTGGAATCGAAAATTTCAGCTTTGAAGGTTCCATTTCTCAAATAGATTTTTTAAGAAAGAGAGATAACGAAAAAGGTTAGGGGAAGACGGTGAAGGTCACTGCACCGACAGAAGCTTACAGCGACACCTAGGTATATACACCGAGGATGAATGTTTTCTGCCAGCACAGATGTCACTACATATATGGAAATTCATTTTACTGTACTGTATATTGAAGCAACGAAATGTTCTGGCATCTTTGGTTAATTTCAATTTTATTTGAGGTATATTTTATTGAATGGAAAATGGCATTTTTACTTATTCCATCAACAGTCATGTAATCAGAATTTTCAAAACTTTCAAAATTGTCTCTGCTTATATATGGAGGCTTATTGGGATCTGAACATACCTGACAAATTTTCCAGATAATGTACTGTACAGTTATCATAGTAATGAAAATTTAAATCGGTGGGCTTTGAGCTTACACCTTCCTTATTGCATTACTGCACCAAATTGAAAAGTTGAATAACATATCAATCTTTTTATAATCACAGAATGTTCCACAACAAGCTTGACTGCTGAATACCTTGATTACTCATAAGATTTGAGACATTTAGCCATTAAAAAAAATCACTAGCATTATTTGAAAGGATTTTTATAGATTATAAATTAATGCATGATCTATAGTTGGAGACTAAGATTAAACTGGACCAAAATTCCGAAGCAGAATTTTTGCTCAATCTATCACAATTAGACCTTGAAAATAATATCAGACAGATATACACCACGATTTTATTTACAATCCAAGAATTTCTGGACACTCAATGACTGGCTCTGGTCCCATTTTTCAGTTTTCGATCAAAAACGGAGCTCTCATGTTGCTTCAATTCTTGCGTATATTTTTGAGTCGTTGACTCAAACTTTGTTTGCAAAAAAAAAATACATAACGTTACAGGCGAACAACTTGATTGACGGAAAGAAGCGACGTGCAGGAACAGTTTCTCGGTAAGGAGAGGCGTGCTTGCAGGTCTACACCTGAGGCAACTGGCTGTCCTCACTGTCGACCGCTGCCAAGCGTTCTGCTTAGAAGGTGAGCCTATGCGCGCACTGACCGCGATTTCAAAATGTCCGCGCCCTGGTGGAAGTCGGTGCGCGGCGTCATCGCAGATCCCGTTCTGTCTCGTCGTCGGGCATTCCCGAATTCTTCATCAAAATTGGTGGTGATTGTGGTTGTGGATGGATACCATCGCTTGGCATCGTCTTCCGTCGCCTTTTTCCGGTATTCCCCGTCCGGAACCCAGGCAGCAACAGCAGAGAAACGTGGACTATGAGTGGACCGAAACATGTACTGATGAGAACTCTTCGGGGACGGATCAGGTGGGGAAATGATGGAGATTTGCTGCTGGTGATCCGATGGACGAGAATGAGGGCTTCGAAGTGTCGAGTTTTTAGATTTCGTGCATTTATACTTGAGTCGTTCAGTGATTTCTAGAAGTATTGGCAGGATGACGAGGCCGTGGAAAAGCCCGAAGACCATGATGAAGGTTGTGATGGTTCCAAGGACGTGGTACATGTATGTTGGCATGGCGATGAGGAAGGCTGTGCCAGAAATCGTCGTGCATGCTGCCTGTGAACGTTAAGAAAAAGTATTTTAGCTTTTAAAACGTAGAATTCGTCATATTACATGTGATTATTTGTTTTACATTTTTGTCTGCTCTTCCTTCTTGCAAAATTTGAAGATGGTAAAAATCAAGAGATATTTTAAAATGTGGTCAATGAGTTTCATTGTGCTCCTGAGGCAGTTTCTTTCTTTCAAAAATGGATCAGTTATTGGATAACTGCAGAATAATGTACAAAATTATCGTCTTGTTTACTCAAGCACAATGTGTCAATAAATGAGATGCGCACCTCCTTTTCTAAGCCTGAAACTTTTAGAAGAATCCATCCCCAGCTAATACTTGTGTGCCACATTTGAGTCTCTGAAGGATTGGAATATTGAAGGAATAAACGGTACTTTCCTGTTATCTCAGTACCTACTTTCCATGCAACCTACCATAAACTGTGAATTTCATTTTTCTGCATTCTGCTGAAACTGATTTTCGGAGGCGGTTAGGTCAGGTTATGTTAGCTACAAATATCTTTCAATTAACATAACCTGACCTAACCTAACTTTACCTAACTGACTCCCAAAATCAGTTTTAGCAGAAACCTGAAGAAAGCAGAAACTGATTTTGGGAGGTACTGAGATAACAGGAAATTACCAAATAAACAAATGTACTGTTGTTTGAAGATGTAATTTAGACTAATTGTACCTGACTTTAACCCTTGTAGTTGGGATATTTTTGAAAAAATTTTGTGCCCATGAGCACTGACAATTAAAAATTCCATTTTTGCACCAAGGCTGAAGTCAGGATAAGTCTGGTATTTTTTTATAATCCTGCAGAAAAATGTGCCTAAAAAAAATTCCTCACTGTGGTTTTTTTTCAGGACTTCCTTGCATATAATTAGCATTAGAGATTTAGAGATTTTGGGATACAAAAGGATTCAACCTTCCTGGATTTTCCCAACTTAGATCTACCCCACCTGGGCACATTTCAGTGACCTTGGGTCAAACTTGCGTTGTCCCCCAAAAAATGCCTGACTTAGCCAGAGGATGGCAAGTAATAACTCTCCCCTTTCCAAGGGTTCTTGGATTGGATTTTCTTTGTCATTTTTCTTCTTTTTGTACAGGTGGACTCTCTCTCTCTCTCTACAATGAAACTCAAAGGAACAGAAAATATTGTTGTAGAGAGAACTTTGTTATTGCAAGGAACCCCTATAACATGGGGAGTTAACACTGCAGGGCAAAAAATTTGCTATATGGAGAGATGTGTTGTAGACAACATCATTGTAGAGAGAGTCCACCTGTATTATCATCAGCCATATTTCAGCTGGTTGATTTCTGTAGTAAGATTTGAAATTTCCCTTAAGATGACTCAGCTATTATGCTCAGTTTAATTTCCTAATATTTTTTACCTGACAATCCTTGCATTACCCTTTTTTACTCAAATATTTTAAAAGAGTTCAAATGATGGTCGAATAAATGCAGTATATATGCATATAAATTTTCTCTACAACAATCTATGTGGAGCAATTGTATGTGGAGCAAGTCCACCCCTGCATAAGATCAGCACATACAGTGGTTTTTGCAAATAGGAGATAAAATATTATTTGCTGGAGAGTTAATTTTTTCAGTGTCTGTTCTTAAAAATCTGCAACATAAAAAATCAAAGTCAACACATCAATACTATGTTGGAGAAATATTTCCAAATTTTTGTGGCTTGCATTAGGTCAGTTGTGAACTTGTGATTGGGGTTTACTTGTGAACTCCTGTTCGTTTTTTTCTCCTATTGCTGTTCAGAGACAAAGTTGAGGCATCCAAACGTAAAAGAAAATTTCCCAAGTTTCAATTAATAAATCATTACTCACCTGTAAAATAGGCCAGCCGAGTTTCCCCAGGGCATCTTTGATCTTTTCCGCAGGATCCTCTGACTCGGACGTGACAAAAGCATATGAAATATGCGACGCAAAGTCGACGCAGAATCCAATGCACATGAGCAGTCCAATGACAACCGTGAGGTTCACTTGGGCCCCCAGGGGCACCACATAACCTGCCACACCCACTTGCATAGAGACCATTGTGAATGCAATCCAAAGTGCCACAGAGAAGCTGGGGATGAACAGATATGCCACTGCCAACATGGCTGCAGCTGCCACACTCAGTGCTTGTACAGTGTACCTTGGTAGAATTTCATCCTTGGAGAAGAAAAATATGAACAGGGGAAAAGATCAATCATCAGTCTTTGTGGGCCAATATGCCAACTGGAGCTTTGGTGGGCCTTGAAAATTCTATAAATTCTCATTACAAAAAAATGTGACCTGAACATTGCTTATTAACAAAAGTTTTTTTCAATTCAGAACTTCAGTTCAAGAAGTATTGAATGCTTGGAGAATAGGAAAAAATGGCTAATAATTTTAATAAGGGTTCAGGATGGTTCAAAAATTGACAATACTGTAAATTAGGTGCTTCTAAGGCAGTATCCTGAAAATCATTTAACCTTTGGCAGCAAGGGTTCTTTTTTGTCACATGGCAGTTTCAGGATTTTTGCAGGCTAGAGTGTTTTGGTTTGGTTGTCCATATAGATAAAAAAAAATGGCACCAGGGCAGAGGGACCTGAGCTGGAAAATATTTGGATAAGCCAGGTTTGTAAAATTGGCTAAGTCCAGCAGAATCCCCAAGGTAATCCTATGGCTGAAGGCTAAAAAAAGTAGCCTTGAGAGATATTTTATTTTTCTGCCCTCCCCAAAAATTTTTTTGCAAAGATAGAAAAAATATGGATTTTCCTGACTTTGAAAAAATTTGCCAGTTCAATGTTATTTCAATTTATAGATTTCTAGCAAGAAATTCCTGCAAAATATCCCAGCAACCCCACTGAAAAGTTAAAGATCAAAGTTTTCAGGATTGCAGTGAATTGATCTCCTTGAACCATTCAAAGCATTGCGCTCCCTTCAAATAATTTGAGTAAAATCATGAATCAGCATTTAATTTAGTGACCCTTTTAATTTGTCGCACAATTTTAGCGTGACAAAAAAAATCTTCATTGGTGTTGATTGCAAATATTTAGGTTTAGTGCTACCCTAGCTTTTAAATGAATATGGATGGAGGTGGCTCTAAAACGAAGATTGAAATCAAATTTTAAATGGTTGTACAGCATTTAAATGAAGTTAATGAAGTGTAATTAAAATCAACACCTTGATCACTTTGCAGATAATTCAAATAAAGCCAACTTTGGCAACCTAACTTTGTGGTATGATTCAACGTGAAAAAATTTTCCTTAGTTTCTTTGAAACCTTATTTTGTGCATGCAATATTCTATTTTTACCCATTATAGAGATGGCTATGGATGGATGGTGACTGGAAAAATTGAGAATTGACTGGAATTGCTAATTGATGTAAACACTTGAAAATACCCTGCATACCTTTTCATACCAGTAGAAATGAAAATCGAAAGCTTCCATGTCGTAGGGATATTTCGCCAAAATAGCCCTGATTTCATTTGGAAGGTAAGTGAGTTCCTCAGGTCGAACTCCAAGTGCGTAAGTTTGAAAGAAAAATCGCGAACCCAGGATTCGTTTTCCGTCTTGGCTGAACCTAAGATTCCTGTCCACTTCGTGGCTCACTGCGTAGTACTTTTCAGCCATAAAAATTGAGAAAATTATAAATACGCATTGAAATTTGTATTTTCAAATAACCGAGATTTTTTGTTTTTTCTAAGATTTTACCTGGCGAAGAGTGTCGACGAATTCCGATTCCCGGGACACGTTCAACGGCAAATATTCGCCGTTTAGCCGCACGAACCCTTTAAATCCTCGGATCCAAGAGTCCGTGTAAATATCTTCTCCTATCCAACGATGAGCCTCCAATTCCTTGGTCATTTTCTCAATAGTTTCTTGAACTCCAGGATCAGAGTAATCCAAGTGCTCGTAAATGGCAACCTACTTTTCCTTTCGAGAAAAACTGTAAATTGTGATCGTAATTCAGAATGAAGAGTTCTGACCTGGAATCTGGGACCGAGGTAGGAGAAATCCTGAAGTATGATTTCGTGGAAAATGTACCAGGGGGTGTCATAAGTGGCCATGAGACCCGGAGTGTCACCTACTGTGATACCCAGAAGGAAATACGACCCTCCTATGATGTATCCGAGGTACGTAATTAAAACGATTACCTGCGAAGTAAACATATTCAGCCTTTTTGCGCGACTCGAATTCCATCTTCTTTTAATACGATTGTAAATGCCAGATATTTCCAAATACTTTACCAATTTTTGAAAAATAAAAAAAAGGATTTACGTGGTAGAAAATGTTCGCCGTTCAGTTGAACTTCGGCTCGTACTGCGGTAAAATTTCAACATGTTGAATCCGATTTTATCGGCTGATCTGAGTTCGCAAAGGTTCATGATTGGAATTTGCATGTTTAATTCTCTGCAGGTTTTTTTTTTACCCTTGTCGATGTTTTTTGGAGAAACGGTGCCCAGTAGTTGCGGAAAATTTTAGTGACTGTTGTCATTCGTGGCTTCTGAGTGACAATTTTCGTCGAACCTCCAGCACAACAGCATCGCACGATTCCATTCGAGGCATCTGAAGAAAAAAAAGAACCGATGATCTTTAAAAAGATTTCAAACTTGACATTGACTTCAAATTCAAGGGACAATAAAATCAAGAATGTAACTAACTCGCTTGTTCTCTGGTCGGCAACTTGACGCAAAAGCAGGAATGTCGATTTCGCTCCTCCAATCGAGCAAAAATTGCCAATGTCGCACCGAAGAGGAACAGTTGATAGAAGTACAAAACTATCATTCCAGTCCCTTTTGAAATAAAAAGGAAAATTACAATAAAATGTACTTACTTTCAATAAGAAGCAGTACCGAGACTAATGACATAATTTTCAAATGAATAAATATGAATGACGCAAAATGTGTGTGATCTCCATGATCCAGGATCATGGCATTTTAGTATTTTGAATGACATCCGGTGAAAGTATACTGTGACAAAGGAACACAATATTCGCTGATTACCATGCTTATTGCGAAAAAAATTGATTGTATACTCTGCAGTATATTTTGATTTAGTCACGATGACAAAAATCATCACGACCTCAGCTAAACTGACTACCGTGTGCTCCTCCTCGAAAAAGATCCCTAAACGAATTTTCATTACAAATTTCCGTGGGGAAAAAGTTACTTTTTCATTAAAATTTGTATCATGATTCATGACAACATGTTTGAAACAAAAATAAATGAAATGATGAGTTTAGACCTGATTTTTTAAACTCAATGCAATCGTCATCGTGGAGTAAAAAGAGGTACCGTTCCTTCCGTCGGTTAATATTCCGAAAGAATTCACATTTCAGAAATGCGAAAAAGTCTAAATTAATGAAGATCAAATCAGAGATATAAACGAATGAAGTGAAAAACACAGTTTTTCTTATCGTTCAAGTTTTTTTTGTGGCCTATAGAATGGATTGCATATTTATCAATTAGAATACTGTAATACAAACAAAATCACGGGTTTTGCAACAAAAAAACTTATTTTTCAGTCACAGAAAAAATCCGAGTACTTTGAGACTTCGGTTCTGATGTGTATCAGTTTTTTATTTATTTTAATTCAATTGTTTGCATCCTTCAACAGTTGTTATACGGTAATATCCTATGGCCCCTCTGATACCAAAGGGTTTCAAAATAACCTGCGTAAATGCAGAAAACTTGGCACAGCTTCAGCGGAGTGTAAGTGCCAATCCAGAAAGACAGGGCATCCGTGATGGACGTGACAGTGATGGCCACTGCAGCATCAGAGAAAACCTGTCCCATTCGTTCCTCCGAACTCAACGCCGGGTTCGTGTTTCTCCACGCAGCAAGCATGACAAATGTGTCATCAATACCGACTCCTATATATTAAAAAAGAAAAGAAAAAACTTGTATGTGAATAATAGAAATGTTCATCAATCGCCAGGAGATTCTGTTTAAATTTATTAAAAATTTTTGGTTTGCCTAGGATGAAGAAGAAAGTGCCGTAGTTGTACGTGAGCCATTCGACGCCGAGGAAGCGCAGAAGTCCGGTAGATGTCACCGCTGCCATCACGGCGAAAACGATCGTCAGCATTTGGGGGATGATTTTCAATTTCACCTGGACGAGCAACGATACGTGTATATGCATCACAAATGCAAACACGTTTTCAGAAAAGCATTTTTAAAACGTAAAAAAAATATATAGATGCTGGAAGAGGCTCAAGTGATTTCATTATTTCTTTGTAATACAGCGAGTATATAATTTTTTTGGAACAAAGTATTGGGGAGCTGTGGAAAAATTCATGATTCTTCATGCAGGAATTTTTTTTCATAATGATGCATGATTTTCAGAACATTTATGATTGAATATCTATTATTTTGTGGAAAACGAGCAAATGCCTTGAATTGTTTCCACAACAGATATGCATTTATTGGAAATTTTCCTTTTCAACTCTGTCGAAATCTAAATTTAAAATTTCATTCCGCTCAACTTGAGCCGGTTTGGGATTTCTGAAACGTGTACTGATGATCTTACTGAAATAGGAAATGCAAAACATTTTTGCAGGAAATGTTCATAAAATTATGAAGCATACTTTTCACATAGCTTAATTCCTGCTTGAGCTTGATTCAGTAAAAAAAAAAAGGCTAAAATTTCAGCAGAAATCGGCACTCACCGGGTCGCATTGCCAACTGGAAATAATGCTGATTGCCAGGGTTAGACCAGCTGCAAAGGGCACAAAATCCTTGATCATGTCCAGCTTTGTTTGTTTATCCGCAGCTTCGGCTCCATTTGCACCATGAGTTCCGATTTCCAGGTCTGGAAATTGGGCGTCCAACTTCTTGTACAGGTTCATGTAATCGATTTCATATTGAGTGCGTTCTCTGGGTTAACAAAAATTTCAACAACAAAATTCCGCTGACACGCAAGTGGTTTGATAAAGATGGAGAATAAATACGCCCTTTTAACACTACGCTAGCAGATCAACATCAAAGCTTCTTCCAATAATGCTTTTTATTCACCCGTTGAAAGGAATTTAACTTTGAATGAAAATTAAATTAAAATACAATAAACAGGACAAGTATAGTGCAGAATAAGTCGAATAAATGACTTACCACTGACGAGGCAAAGAAATGTGTAAAAATGGTTCCAGCTTGACAAATATAGAGCCAAGTTTACCAACGATCGACTATTACTTATTCAGCATAAAAAGATGTAAACAATAAAATTCGAAGCATGAAAAATTTCGCAGATATTCTTCAGATGCAGTAATTTGGATTGCAGACTATGTACGAACACTTTTCCGAATAATCCTCTGATATCGGCGTTTTTCCGTTGTGAATATTTTTCAATTTCAGCGGATGATCTTCTTTCTTCAGCTTGAAAAACATCGTGAAAATTTGGTTTGGATTTTTATTGTTCTGATTGAATTCAGCAGCTCGACTCAAAATATCCTGGCTATTCCAGTACAGTATATCCAGACGCCATCATTTCGAAAATAGAATGTCGTGTAAATGATGAAAAAAATTATTCAAAAGCAGCAGAAAATTTTTATGAACGATGACGTGTAATAATATCTTGTTAGCATTCCTGCAAATCGTGAAGATCATTTGCCTCGATTTTCAAACACTTTATCTTAGGCAATCAAATATATTATAAGAATTCCTTCAACGGTGAAACAAATCAAAGAAATTCCACATTAAAGCAAGTTTCATCGATTCAACATATCTTGGTCTTGACCTGGGTTTCCATTCGACAATTTCAGCTCATCAGAGGGAAAACTATCGACATGAATCTAAATAATTTTTGGCTGCTGCGTATAAATTAAAATATGGTCACTTTCGAACGAATTTAAAAAGTACGAAGAGTAAATTTCAGAGTGCGTTTCGTCAAAAGATTATTTCCTTACTTTCCTCCATTGTGCGCGTACCAGTATTTCAAGAATAAACTGGAACTGGAGTGCAGCACATTTCCGTCTTGAGACTGAAGGCCAAAAGGCTCACTGGGCCCGTTGTTCATTCGGAGCTTAGCTAAGCCTACGTCCTTTCTTCCGGTACAGTTCAACTTGAGCAAAGATAGGTTACTTAGCTGCTACAGCAGGTCAAGGTGCAATTTTGACCCTTCACAATTGCGACACCGATCGCCGAAGAATTTCACGAATTGCTTGTGGATCGCGAGGATTTTGTTGAACACGGCACGAGTGAAAATTGTGGATCCGTTTCTGGTCCGAAGAACTGCTTGCACTTCGTCTTGGAAGCGATATTCAACTGCTTTTTCTCTGTTATTGAGGGAAAAATTAGTTTTTTATCTGAACAATACTCCCTAAAATCTATCTTGCGGTCAGAGACCATTTGAAAAACCACTTACCGCTGAAAAAACTACCAAGAATTCCCCAGGTTTGTGTAAAAAAAAATTGCATGCAAAAATGAAATCATGGATGGCTGGAAATTATTGTTTTATTTGTACATAACATTGAGATGGATTGAGAAACTTAAAATCTTACTTTTGGTCTGCAGAAGATTTTTTTTGGAAATTTGCAGTTCTGTAAAAAATTGTATGGAAATTTTTTGGTCTGTGGGCTCAAAATGGTTGGAGAAAAATGGTCTACCTAATGAAGGTAAACCAGAAAGTTTTGGTTGAAAGACTTTATTGCAGGTATTTGAAAAAGTTTCTGCTTTTTGCATGAATTAATCAAGAATCAATCAAGCAGCCATACGGTATAGCAGAATGTCTTCAAAATTTATGAAGTTGGGTTTGAAGAAAGGTTTCTCAGAATTAAAAATTGAAATAATTAATTCATCAGGTGAATTTTTTCTAAAGTGTTATTGGAGACAAACCAATTTTTATCAGATAATTTTAACTGCCATTATTGCCTTTCCAAATTTTCAGATAACAATAACAGGCTTTGTTGCTATTTTTAATACGTTTTATACTCAGTAGAAAAATTCCTACACAGCAAAAAAAATTCTGCAGATGAGCACCAAACTGCAATCAGACACTCCACTATTTTGAAGCGACATCTACATTCAACAAAATAATTTCCATTGCGCGACAGACAAAAATAACCGGCATCATCATTTGATCCGCAACAAACCAGCTCATTTGCTTTTGCTCTGAGAAATACAGTAAATAAAGCACACACTCACTCTTTTTCAATTTCCCGTTTGACTAATTTGTGTTCGCCGGAGTTCTCCACGTCATCTGGAAGCTTGCCGCCTTCAAAATAGAGTTTGCTTCTTGTGTGTGCCTTGCTGACTTCACCGCCTTGTATGATAATGAGATCATGTTGATGAGCATTGTCGCTGGTGTCAATCTGACTTCCGGTTTTCCGAGTGACCCGGGCAACAAGTAAGCCTCGAATCGATTCGGATGCAGGAAAGAAGGCCATGTCAAGTTGAACTCGTTTCTATCCAATGAATCGACGATGTCGTCCAGTTCCAACAATTTTGACCCTTCACAATTGCGACACCGATCGCCGAAGAATTTCACGAATTGCTTGTGGATCGCGAGGATTTTGTTGAACACGGCACGAGTGAAAATTGTGGATCCGTTTCTGGTCCGAATAACTGCTTGCACTTCGTCTTGGAAGCGATATTCAACTGCTTTTTCTCTGTTATTGAGGGAAAAATTAGTTTTTTATCTGAACAATACTCCCTAAAATCTTTCTTGCGGTCAGAGACCATTAGAAAAATCAATTGCAGCTGGAAAAAACTACCAAAAATTTCCCTCGTTTGCGTGAAAAAAATGTGCATGCAGAAATGAAAGCATGGATGGCTGGGAATTATTGTTTTATTTGTACATAAAATTGAGATCGATTGAGGAACTTAAAATCTTACTTTTGGTCTGCAGAAGATTTTTTTGGAAATTTGCAGTTCTGCAAAAAATTGTATGGACATTTTTTGGTCTGTGGGCTCCAATTGGTTGGAGAACACTGGCCTACCTAATTAAGGTAAACCAGAAAGTTTTGGTTGAAAGACTTTATTGCAGGTATTTAAAAAAGTTTATGCTTTTTGCATGAATTAATCAAGAACCAATCAAGCAGCCATACAGTATAGCAGAATGTCTTCAAAATTTATAAAGTTGGGTTTGAAGAAAGGTTTCTCAGAATTGAAAATTGAAATCATTTATTTCATCAGGTGAATTTTTTCTAAAGTGTTATTGGAGACAAACCAATTTTTATCAGATAATTTCAACTGCCATTATTGCCTTCCCAAATTTTCAGATAACAATAACAGGCTTTGTTGCTATTTTTAATACATTTTATACTCAGTAGAAAAATTCCTACACAGCAAAAAAATTCTACAGATGAGCACCAAACTGCAATCAGACACTCCACTATTTTGAAGCGACATCTACATTCAACAAATAAATTTCCATTGCGCGACAGACAAAAATCACCGGCATCATCATTTGATCCGCAACAAACCAGCTCATTTGCTTTTGCTCTGAGAAATACAGTAAATAAAGCACACACTCACTCTTTTTCAATTTCCCGTTTGACTAATTTGTGTTCGCCGGAGTTCTCCACGTCATCTGGAAGCTTGCCGCCTTCAAAATAGAGTTTGCTTCTTGTGTGTGCCTTGCTGACTTCACCGCCTTGTATGATAATGAGATCATGTTGATGAGCATTGTCGCTGGTGTCAAAATAAATTGCACCAATCAAAGTGAGAAAGCACGGAACTATTATGAAACTCGCCGGGTTCCGGTACAAATATCTTCCCAGTTTGTAATAGACTTTCTTGAAAATTGTTTGCACGCAAGTCCGCTTGCATCCCATTTTCTTTTCACGTCTACACTTTCACTCGTCTTTCTTTATAGGATTATTTTACTGGTGTAAATCTACGAAACTAAAACGGAAAATTAATTCAGTTGTACTAGGAATTTCTCATGTTTTGAATTCGTTGAAATTAAGTCATCGCGGGAAGCAACTTTTTTTTGCACGCCGTTCTTCAGAAGACTGAATCTGACAGAGGAAAGAGATTGTTTTTTCGATATCGAGAAGAAGAACTGCGTAAAAATTGCAAGTTCATGTAGGTTCCGTTCCACTGCCAAAAAAATTGTGCACGTAACATGGAAAAAAGTGCATATGTCATGAATCAGAAGTTCACGTGTCATGACTCAAAATATATTCGAGGGTTGGCTCAAACGTTTTGACTGCTCTTCGTGTTCTTCAGCTGGTCTTGTTGGACCAAGAAAAATATTTTCTTTGTCTAATCTCCTGATTCAATGTTCATTTATTGCCACCATGTCCACTGCACTTCTGCACAGTGAGACCCCCACATGCGGACACCTCGACATGCGGACAATTCAACATAGGGACACTTATTTTCCCATAAAAAATTAATAAAAAAGGCCAGACATGAGGACACTGACTCAACATGGGGACATTTTGTTATCAAATTGCAAATACATTTCAGGCCAAATTACAAAAAATAGATATTCCCAACCCTAAAATTGACATAAGAAAAGTTCTTGGTCATTTCTCTCACCAACTTACAATCCATTTAGCTAATTGAAAAAATTACCTCCAGCAGAGAGGGACTTCCTTCTCTCTTTTTCACTTGAATATTATTTTCACAACAAATACCAACATTTCTATGTACTGTACACCGGAATCAGTATTCAATACCCCAAATGCCCATATTGTGTTGAAATATATTGATTGGAATCAGTTTAAATTGGAATAAAAATTATATTTTCATGGAACTACAGTGAGTATTTTGTGCAGAAAATATCAATTAAAAATTATATGATGTAAGTCTTAAATGAGACTCAACTGATGGGAACATTTTGACTTAGGGACACTCTTCATGCACCAATTATGTCTGCATTTTGGGGTCTCACTGTATATGCTTACAATATAAATGTCCAGAAAAATATACCATATTTAAAAGTGGGTGAAGTTAAGTACCTCCCAGATATTGGCTGCACTATTTCAATGTAAGAGGTTGAATGCGTTTGAATTTTTCAGTACATGTTTTTATCATGTTTTTCATGGATATATCTGGCATGAAATGCAATAATACACTGTAAAAAACCTTGAAAACACCCCTTGTATTCTATCCATGCCACGGTTCTTTTGGAAGACAGAAACAATTTTCTCTTTTTCTGGATATTTCCAGGCTCGTTTTCTCTACTACCTTTAGATGACTCATTGCAAATTTTGTCTTCAACTATTACATGAGTTCACTGAGTTCTTGAACTTCGAAGAAAACAGACGCAGTATGACATTTTCTAGAAAATCAAGAATTGTATTTTATCCCGTCTCAAATATCGACATTTTTCGGACCATAAAAACAATTATGGTGATTTCTTTTGTATCACAGTTATTTTTTGATAGCGTTTTGCTCATGTGCAGAAATAATACCACTCAGTCACATTCACAAAACATGAACCAGCAAATTAATCGCTCAGGTTTTAAAGATGGGGACGTCATAATTCCGAACTAAATTAACTATGCACAAAAATAGAAATGCACATGGTAACTCTATGACTCAGTGAGGTATGGCCACTATGAAAGAGAAAGTATGTGATGAAAAAGATTCTTGAATTTGATTCGTGTGACAATTAAAGAAAAATATTGTAGTCACAATACTGTACTCGAACCAGCGATTTCTTTGCGAATTCCTCTGATTTATTAAATTAATCTGTTTCTGTCACGATTCACGATTCTAAGCATACCTCGATCTTGATAATACATTTCAAATACGGTTTTAGTCTTTTGACAGCCATTTTTTAAACCATCACGAGTTGAATCCTGTTGATGTTCGACAACTTCGGATATTCAGACGACATCTGTCTGAGATTACTTGAACTGAAAAATGATGCTTGAACGAACAGAACTAGAGAGAGCTCAACGAAAAAATTCAATGCATCTTGATTTGTCATCTCGGTGATAATTTGAGAACTTCTGAAATGCCCCTCAAGCGAGCAGAGATTCTCCAAATGTTTCTCCTGGATGCCCGTAAAATACTTTTCCACATTTGTACATCACAAACCTTTTTGCTAGATTTTCCTGACAATTTTGCGCCGTCCCTTTTCGAAGCTAACATAATACAGGTAATATTTATACGGTATTACATGTTCTTGAATTTTTTGACGCGATTTCTATCAAAAAAGGCAATTTACGCGTTTGTTCTTGGGAAGAGATTCTTGGAACTTTTTCTGAATATCAAGGAAAATAAGCTGCTGGTCACTTTTCCTCACTCATCACAACTCTCCAACAACATTCATTTTATTTTAAAACAGTGTTCCCCAACCTGTGGTCCACAGATGAGAACCCTTCCTCTGAAGTTGTTTGCTGTTCCACTGTCAATTTTCTTTAGCTTAATAAATGCATCAAAAGTAGCAATGGAGTCTGTTATTTTCATCTGAAATGTTGGAAAGACAATGGCATTTAAAATTATCTGATGAAAAATAAAAGTTGGCTTTCCTCCTAATAATGCAACAGACCAATTTTCACCTGCTAAAATAAATTATTTCAATTTTTCATTCCAAGAAACTTTCTCCAAGCCCACCTTTCTGGTTTTTGAAGACATTCCACTATAAAACTGCTTAATTGGTTCTTAACTCCATTTTTGAAAAAAAAAACAGAAACTTTTTAAATGCTTGCCACAAAGTTTTTCATGAAAAAGGTTTCTGAGTCTGATGAAGTTTTATGAAACTTTTTGCCAGTGTCTGCAAATTTTCTTCATTTTAATTTGCCTGTTCATCTATAGCTGTGGGCCCGAAAAGGTTGAAGAACACTGGTTTTAAGGATATTTCATCGCGTCTTGAATCGAAAAAAAACAATATAATAACCTATACACTCTGATTTTCTATCGGAACTTCAGTCGACAAAGACGCGCGCTCCTCGTCTCCATTTCCCTCATCTTTCGGTCGTCGGGCTGCTGATGCTTCCAACAACACGCAGTCCACAAAATGACGCCTTTCCGAATTCGAGTCCTCGCTTTTCCTCCTTTGCCATTCCTCCATCAGCGATCCCGAGACGGCAAACAGAGTCGGCAACACGGCGAGTCCATGAAACAGGCCCAGTGTCATGATGCACGTCATGTTCCAGGCGAGCATGCGGAAGGAGTAGGCCGGAACTGCGGCGAGTGGGACGACAGCAGCGATGGACGTGGCGGCGGATTGGGCGATGGGCCAGCCGAGTTTGCCGAGTGCGTCGCGAACCCGGGTTGCGGAGTCCGTGCTCGGCGAAGTCACGTAGGCGTAGGAAATGTGGGTGGCAAAGTCCACGCAGAAACCGATGCTCATGATGAGCCCGATCGTCATGCCGACTTCCAGGCGTCCGCCAAAAGGAACTGAGAAGCCTGGCACAATTGAAAAAAAAAATGTATATATTAATTACAGGGTGTCTCTCTCTCTCTCTCTATGCAACAAAAGTCAGGGGACCAGAAAGATAAACATTTGTGGCACAAATAATTTTGTTCCAGAGATTTGTATGGGACAACAAATAGTGTTAGAGTGAGAAAATTGTAGACAAACTCATTGCAGTGGGCACTGTCATGGTGTGTCCGGTCAGCCACTGGTTGGTCAATTCACAGCCGCACACCCGCCAGCTGTCAAACACCGGGCAGTCCAACGCCAGCCTGGGCAGTCCTTGGTCTTGTCAATCCCCAGCCCACTGAACGGCGGTCTGGTCACCCATTTGTTGTTGCGCCCAAACAATAGGGTGACAAGAATCATGCTGATTCTCTCCAGAATTTGATGAGCAGAATGGTATCCTACCACAGGATATTTTTTTGCAAAATTTTAGCAATGTTAGGTTAATTTAGGTCAGTTTATATTATGTTAGTTTAGTCCAGGTTAGGTTAGGTTAGGATAGGTTAGGTGAGGATAGGTTAGGTTGGGTTTGATGAGTTTTCTCTTTCTGTGAAAAATTTTATAAGATGCAATTTTGAAAAAAAATAATAATCTGTGGTAGGATACCATTCTGCTAACCAAATTCTGGAAAGAATCAGCATGATTCTCATCACTGGATTGTTTGGGTGCCCCAACAATTGGGTGACCAGACTGCAGTTTGGTGGGCTGGGGATTGGGAAGGCCAAGGACTGCCCTGGCTGGCAGTTGGACCAACCAGCGCTTGACGGCTGGTGGGTGCGTGACCATGAATTGACCAACTGGCAGTTGACCAGGTACCCTGTCATGGGACCATTGGATCCCAGTAAAAGGAATTGAATTGTGCAGCCAGCAGAATGCTAGTTTTGAATAAGAACTCAACCTGTTTTCAGAGGAGTTCATTCTCATTGCCCAGATTGTCATTTGGCTGTTGATGAAATGGTTGTTTGGAATGGCGGAAACAATTGTTGTTCAGCTCAAGAGAATGAATAAGGTAATTTAAGTTAAAAGGCCATTTAACACAATGTTCTCACTTCTCCTCTCAAGGAGGATGAAGGCTTTTATACCTAGGTGATCAGACTGGTTCAGAAAGAAATCAGTTGATTTCTTCCTGGATCAGGATTGGCCAATTTTGGGAAAATCAAGGAAGTGATGACCACTTCTTGGCCTTGGGTGAGGTTCAGTGAGTCCTGCAAAAACAGGATTTTTGCAAGGCTCACTGGCCTCAAGATTCAATGAGTTTTCTTGGCTGGTTTTTGACCAGATGCAGCAGCTGCGCTACTTCAGGACATGACAGGCATTAAAAAAGAAGAAAACAACTGAATTTATAACCAAGCCCCAAGTTTGAATTTTAGGAAGAAGTCTGAAGATATTTCACTGCCAACAGATAATTCTGCCAAAAGGAACCTAGAAGTCTGTAAAATTCAAATAAATAAAGACAGGTGGACTGTCTCTTCAAAAAAATTCAGGGGACCAGAAAAAAAAACAATTGTTGTAAAGAGAATTTTGTTGCATAAAATC